TTGGAATCTCACTGTTGCCCAGGCTGGAATGCACACTCACATCGACCTGCTGGGCTCAGGCAATCCTTCCACCTCAGCCTTCCGAGTAGCTGGAACCACAAGTGCGCACCACCATGCCTGGCTAATTTTTTTATTTATTGTAGAGACGAGGTCTGGCCAAGTTGCCTATTCTAGTCTAGAACCCCTGGGGTCAGGTAATCCTCTCACCTCCGCCTCCCAAAATTCTGGAATTACAGGCGTGAGCCACCACGCCCAGCTGTTAGGAGATTTTAACCTACAGATGTGACTCGCATATTTCTAGGCTCTGAGACAGTGCCCTGGGCCATTTTATTGAGTGAAATAGCCAATGTTGAGCGATACCATGAATGCATGGGTGAGTGAAGAGGTAGTCTCGGGCTTCCATTGGAAAAATGGATACATCCTTGCCCTAGAAGTCAGGCGATCTGAGTGTGGCCCAGGATTTACTGGAAACCCTGCGTAGCCTTGGACAAGCCCTACCGTACACTGGGCATCGATTTGCCCAGCAGGTAGTTGATCTCTGGGGTCTGGAAGTGGCGGAGAAATGTACCACAAAAGCCCGGTACGACGAAACTTGTCTTCTGGGTGGCTCTAGCCTAAACACCTAAGCTTGGGCCAACGACTTGAGACTGAACCCCGAATCCGGGACCCGGGCCACGGCTTCCTCCAGACTACGTCACTTAGACGCGACGGCGTGGTCCACCGGCCGGCTCCGAAGGTCCTCGAAGACGAGTTCCGGGCCAGCAGAGGAGCGAACAGCCCCTAAGTCCCTTGGAGACTCCGATCTCAGGGAAGCACCCCCCCACCGCCCTCCCTCTTACTGCCCCCCAAGCCGGCACAGGAGTCCGGACGACCCGAAGCCCACCCGCGGCGCCCAGAGCCGAGCCCCAGTGCGGCTGCGCAAGGCACGTGCACAGTCTCCAGGAGTCCCGGCGACAGGCTGTGACGTAACTTCCGGCGTGAGCGGCGAAAGCCGGGAGGGCGAGAGAGAGCGAGCACCAGCAGGCAGCCGGCGGGCGGGCGGACTGACGGCACGGGGAGAGGGAGCGAGCGAGCAGTGCGTGAGCCAGCGAGGGCGGCCGGGTCCCGAGGACAGTCGAGATTCCGCAGGTCCCTCTGGCCCCCTCCCCGGAGCCCACAGCGCCTCCGGTCTCCAGCGGAGCGGACACGGCCCGGCCCGGCCATGGCCTCGTTGCTGAAGGTGGATCAGGAAGTGAAGCTCAAGGTAGCGGCACCGGGCCGGGCCTTTTTACCCCTCGCAGTGATCCCTCAGCAGTCTGACCGTCTTCCCACTCCCCATGCCGTCTTTGTCTCCCTGGGGACACCATCTCTGAGTTTCCGCTTGGCTCAGCCCAGCCCCCAACTCTTGGGGACAGCATCGGAATAGAGGATAATATAGGATGGCTTTCTGTACCCTATTGATGATGGAGAGTCCCGGGGACACCTCCGTGGACTCGTGTTGGACTTAGTGCTTTAGAACAGTGACAGCTGGAAATCCCCCAGCCCAGCGACGTTCACGCCCCCGGACTCTACCCCTGCTCCTGCCCTCGGCGGTTGGCCTGCCTCATATCATGGTCTGGGTGGGGGCTGGCACGTTTGTGAGCTCACATCTCCCCTAACTACCTGTCCTTTGTCTGCTTATCAAATTCAGACAGCTTCAGACACAAGGAGGGAGGGAGGGGAGAGGAGAGAGGAGACTAGCGGGTCTTAAGCCCTGCTTCCCTCTCCTGAGATGGAGAAATGGATCCTCAAAAAAATAAAATATTTGCAGTATGGGGGCCTCTCTGCTTCTTACTACAATTGCAAGGTGAGGGAAAGACAGCTGGATTTGGGATTCCCATCTGCCTTTACCTCTGTTGCCGGGTACTAAATTGCCCTTTTTAATTTTAGGTTGATTCTTTCAGAGAGCGGATCACAAGTGAGGTGAGTGAAATAAATTGAAAAATGAATGTTGGTTAATAGTTGGGAGTTTCCCAAAGAGGAGGTATTTGTTGAGAGAGACCTAAAATTATTAATTCTGCTTTATTTTCCCTCCTTTTTAGGCAGAAGACTTGGTGGCAAATTTTTTCCCAAAGAAATTGTTAGAACTTGATAGTTTTTTGAAGGTGAGAGATCCCCTTGTTTCCTTAAATTTCCCAATTTTTTTTTGGCCCTGGTCTGTCTGTCAAATGGGGCAAATTGTATATTGATTCTTTTTTTTTTTAAACTGTAAAGCACTCTCATCTTGCCCTTCAGATGAAATACTTTTTTCTTAGCTTGAAAAGACTAATGTTGTTTTGGTGGGCATCTCTCTTTCAGGAACCAATCCTAAACATCCATGACTTAACTCAGATCCACTCAGACATGAATCTCCCAGTCCCTGACCCCATTCTTCTCACCAATAGCCATGATGGACTGGATGGTGTAAGTGTCCTATATTTATCTTGTGTTCTTTTTTGAGTTTCACTCTATTGTCCAGGCTGGAGTGCAGTGGCACGCTCACGGCCACCGCAACCTTGACCTGCTGGGCTTAGCTGATCCTTCTGCCTCAGCCTTCCAAGTAGCTGGAACTACAGGCGCGCGCTACCATGCCCAGCTTATTTTTTGATTTGTTGTAGAGACAAGGTCTCACCAAGTTGCCCAGGCTGGTCTTGAACCCCTGAGCTCAGGCAATCCTCTCACCTCAGCCTCCCAAAGTGCTGGGATTACAGGCTGAGCACCTCGCTTGGCCTATTTTGTGTTCTTAAGCAGTAGATTCTCTGTCCTTTATTTTCCGGCAAGTTTGAACATTTACAGAGGACAGTGGGATGGGGATCCGGGGACTATGACTCTGAGTCCTACAGGCGTGATGACTCCAGTATACACCTTTTAGACCCCAATTTTCATTTATGACATGAGTTTAGAGTGAGTTTCACATAAGACACAACTAGTTACAGATTCTCTCAGGTTCCCTGGGATTCCCTATGGCTCTGAACAAGACCATACTTACCTCCAATTCAGTGTCTTGAATCTTGCTACGGGATGAGAATTTTTTGCTGTGTAACTGCAGTCCTGTCTTCTCTGGGCATCTCTAGAACCTAGTTCTTTTTTTTTTTTTTTTTTGAGTTGGAGTCTCACTCTGTCGCCCAGACTAGTGTACAGTGGCTGCTCCCAGCCACCGCAGCCTTGACCGACTGGGCGCTGGCAATCCTTCCGCCTCAGCCTTCCAAGTAGCTGGAACTTCAGGCACGCGCTAACACACCCGGCTAATTTTTTGATTTATTATAGAGATGAGGTCTCACCAAGTTGCTCAGGTGGGCCTCAAACCCGCGGGCTCAGGCAGTCCACTCACCTCAGCCTCCCAAGGCGTGGGATTATAGGCTGAGCCACTGAGCCCGGCTAGAACCTAGTTCTTATCAGCCATATGGCCACACTTCATTACAGCACTGATGACACCATATTGTTCTTTGCATTACTGTCTCATTGATAGAACTTGCACATCTGTCTTTTTTTTTTTGAGTTGGAGTCTCACTCTGTCACCCAGATTGGAGTGCAGTGGTGGCACAGTCCCAGCCACCGCAACCTCGATCTGCTGGGTTCCGGCGATCCTTCCATCTCAGCCTTCCAAGTAGCTGGAATTACAGGGACACACTACCACACCCGGCTAATTTTTTTGATTTATTGTAGAGATGAGGTCTTGCCAAGTTGAACCCGCGGCTCAGGCAGTCCACTCACCTCAGCCTCCCAAAGTGCGGGATTACAGGCTGAGCCACCGAGCCCGGCTGCACATCTGTCTTAATCATCATCGTATTCCTGGCACCTAGCATTGATCCTGGTACATAGGTGCTGAGTACATGTTTGTTGATTGAATACAGCATTCCTTGTGGAAGTGGAACCAGCATTCCCTTAATTATCCTCACCCTGCCTTGATTGGGTCCTTTCTCCTGTATCTTCCTCTCTCCCCCAATTACTTAATGTGCTATGTTTCTTGAAAGGCTGGTCTCCCAACTGGAATGTAAATTGTTTTGTGGCAAGAACTTTTTCTTAAAGCTTTATGTGTGCTTAGGAAATTGTGTAGAAATTAAGACAATCTTTGAAGTTGAGGAAGGGATTGAACTTGCTTGAAGGATGTCTTGTGATGGGGATGTGGATATTGAAGCAGGCTAATTCCTGCCTCTTTGTGTCCTTAGCCCACTTACAAGAAGCGAAGGTTGGATGAGTGTGAAGAGGCCTTCCAAGGTAAGCGCCATCAGCACCTCGCCTCTTCACCCTACACCCGACTTGCAGCCATGAGAAGCAGGATGGATCTGGTGTTCTTCTAGCCAGGAAGCAAGATCTGATTTTATTTCTCGGAATCAGCATTCCTAAGTCCTCCAAACATTATCATTATTTAGCGCTGTAGACCTAATTTTCCAATAAACAGAGAGGGTTTGACTTCATATGGACTGCCAGGGGAGGGAGATTGGAGATGGAGGCTACACCTACCAGATTTTTCACAGAAGTCCCAGTTCCATAGTTATTTTTTTCTCTGATGACAGTAGTTGATGCATTCAGTCTTTAGTATATTTGCTTCAATGTTCTTAAGACTTTTGGCATACTTTAGACACTTGTCTGTTGTTCTGTTATTTCATACCTGTTTTGATTCTAATAGTGGTGTCATGGTAGGATTGTGACAAATAGAAGGCAGAGGTCATAGCATTTTATAGGTCTGGGGAAGAAGAAAGAAAGGTAGGAGATGCTATGGCCTCCCTCCTCCCCAATCATTTAACCTCTATGTCTCTGCCAGGAACCAAGGTGTTTGTGATGCCCAATGGAATGCTAAAAAGCAACCAGCAGCTGGTGGACATTATTGAGAAAGTGAAACCTGAGATCCGGCTGCTGATCGAGAAATGTAACACGGTGAGGTGGGGACTAGTGACCTGTGGGCTGGCCCCAAATAGCTCCACTTGAACTATGAAAAACAATGGATAAAGGGCTGGAGGCATGGGGTAGTTTAGGGATGGCAGCTCAGTATCTCAGCTCCTGCATTCTGGTGTCTGGTCCCAGCAGCGTGAATCGTACTTCCTGACTTCAGAAGAAGCCGTGATCCTCATATATGTGTTTTGGTCTTCTCACCCTCCAGGTCAAAATGTGGGTACAGCTCCTGATTCCCAGGATAGAAGATGGGAACAACTTTGGGGTGTCCATTCAGGTAACATGCTTGCATTACAAACTGGGAAGAGAGATTTGGGAAATATGTTTATGTCCCCTGCTTTGTCTGTCTTCTCTTTCTCTGTGGTGCCACTGTGGGTTGAAGGGGTCTTTGACTCACCTGTTTTATTTTGTTTTTAGGAAGAGACAGTTGCTGAACTAAGAACTGTTGAGAGTGAAGCTGCATCTTATCTGGACCAGATTTCTAGGTAGGGCTGCTTGGGCTTGGCTAAGTAATTGGGGGCTGGCAAGGTGGTAGGCACCATCAAGGGTCTCTGCAGCTTCCTCCTCTTCTCTCTCCTTCCAGATATTATATTACAAGAGCCAAATTGGTTTCTAAAATAGCTAAATATCCCCATGTGGTAAGTAAGGGTTGTTTGACCGCGGGTGGAGGTGACAGGAGAGGGAGGAGTGCCTGCCACCGGAAGGAGCTGTCTGCAGACTGCTGGGCTCCAGGAACTAGCCTTTTCCTTTACCTATCCTTGCAGGAGGACTATCGCCGCACCGTGACAGAGATTGATGAGAAGGAATATATCAGCCTTCGGCTCATCATATCAGAGCTGAGGAATCAATACGTGAGTTACCTCGGTTCTTGCCCACAGATGCCCTGGCTTCTCTTAGTTCTCTTGAGAATTTTCTTGAAACTAGGGGTTGAGATGGGGGCAGCGGTAAAATGAGTAGAACAAATTCTGCTCCTCAACTGAATGTTGAGAGCCATGGAGTCATCGAGAGTGCCTAGCTGGATGTGGAGGGATGTACAATGTCATACAGTGATTAAGATGTGAGTGTCAGAGTCAAAAGACTTAGATTCAGAACCAGGTTCTCTCTACCTGTAATGTGTGACCTTGATCAAATTGTTCAAGTTCAAACTTTAGTTTCTTCATCTCTGAAAGGGAATGTAGAGCATCTACTGGACAGTTTTTTTGTTTTTGTTTTTGTTTTTGAGTTGGAGTCTCTCTCAGTCGCCCAGGCTGGAGGGCAGTGGCATACTCATGGCCACCATAGCCTCGACTTTTTGGGTTCAGGTGATCCTTTTACCTCAGCCTTCCAAGTAGCTGGAACTACGGGCATGTGCCACAATGCCTGGCTAATTTTTGATTTATCATAGAGATGAGGGCTCACCAAGTTGCCTGGGCTGGTCTTGAATGCATGGGCTCAGGCAGTCCTCTCACCTCAGCCTCCCAAAGTGCTGGGGTTATAGCTGTGAGCCATCACACCTGGCAATTTTTTTTTTTAATGAGTAAGATTAACATTAAAGGACTTAGTGCAGTTCTCAGTACGTTAAGTGCTCAGTTGTTATTAGACACTTGGGGCCTTGGAAGTGTACCTAGTTATACCCAGTTGAAAGTATATGAGAGGTAGAGCCGCCAACCTGAACGCAGGCTCCAGTAAGTGCAACTGGGATTACACCGAGTCCTCACTTAGCACCATCTGTAGGTTCTTGGAAACTGCAGCTTTAAATGAAATGACACATAGCAAACCAATTTTTTGGTTAACATTATAACAAATGACATTGAACAAAATGGAATTATTTGAAGCTACATGATTTGAGGACCTTTTGTATGTTCTTTTGCTTAATAAAGTAGCAGTTTCTTAGACCCTGTCGACAACGCTAGGGACTTACTGTTTGTGAATGACTGCTTGGGGACTTGTGGGGGGTGGTGTCTCATTTTCTTGGTGTGGTAGTGGTATAGATGTGTGATTCCCCTGACTCCACTTCTTCCAGGTCACTCTACATGACATGATCCTGAAAAATATCGAGAAGATCAAACGGCCTCGGAGCAGCAATGCAGAGACACTGTACTGAGGCCAGGGCCAGGGCCAGGGGACTCTGTGAGTCTGGCTCAAGACCGACATTGCCTTGGTTTGTTACATGACTATCGTGATGGGGAAACTGGCTGAAAATAGTAATCGCACCTCTCTGTTTTTAGTTAGAGCCTAATGAAACGCTCATCTAGTTCTGTGATGTGTTTACTTCTTTTTTTCAGGCCTCAGGAACTCTTCTATTTCCTTCCCTAATACCCCACACCCAACCTGTCCTAATTTCTGGAGAACTCCAGGTTTGTGTGTGCAGGATGTTGGCACAAGATTGCTTGGGTTTCTTTCTCCCCCTCTCTCCCTTCTGTGTCTTGGGCTTTGTATTTTCTTCCATTTGATGATTAGTTAGAAGCTGAAGGAACTGGAAGGAAAAAAGTGCTAGGTGTTTTTAGGAGCTGAGGTGGGGGGGGGGGACCAGCTTCTCTTCACATGAGGTTAGTGTCTCTTTCCTGGCCCTTGGATCCTCCCTGCCACAGTGGCCCTGGTGATGACCTAGGGTTTGTATCTGCAGACATCCCACCTTGAACATGATCATGACAAGAAACACCTTAGGCCTTCAGTCAAGTCCGTAGCTCCTTCAGATGTTTTTATAATGGAGGTTTTCATGTATACATATATGTGTGCATATGTACACACACTCCTTCCAACTCCGTTACCTTACATACCTTCCTCCCCCATCCCTGTCACACACATACCTTTCTGGAGGTGACAACTGTCCTAGTTGTTATCCACCCAGGCGAAAGTCTTGGGTTCATCCTCCCTCCTGATATTGTAGCCTCTTGGTGCCCAGGGTGAGTTAAGAGGAGAACTGAGAGATGAGAAGCAGAGGGCCTGGGGGGCCCTTCCTCTGTGACTCAGGCTCTTTTTGGTGTTATTACAAAGGCTGGTCCTCTGGCTGCTCCTGGTTGCTTTTCTCAGGCCAATTGTAAATTGGGGTGGGGTGTCTGCAGCTGTGCAGTCCAGGTGCTGCTGCTCCTGTTGGGCTTTCCCTTTGGGAAATATTTCTCTTATTTATAGTATTGTGCTTCCAGGGAAAGCAGTCATTTGAGTGTGTGTGTGTGTGTGTGTGTGTGCGTGCGCACGTGTGTGCGAGCATGCATGCATGCACAGATATACATTTGTGTATGTGGAAATATGCTGGGCAAGTCAGAACTGTAGAAGAGTTGCCTCCTATCTCTCGAATCTTCCAGTCACTTACTGTTACAGCTCTGTGTTCACCCTCATCAGCCCCCAGTGTTTTATTCTACTACTACTGGAGAGTCGCTCGCTGTCTGCAGTGAGCCTGCCAGCAGCTCTCATTGTCTCCAACTTTTATTCTTCTCCTCTCTGTCTTCCAGCCCCTAATCATATTTCCACCTGGGATGCATCATTTTTACTCCCAACATTCTGTAGAGAAGGAGTTCAGGATGCTGTCTTCCCATGGATAGTACTCAGTAACAAATCAATTGCATTTTAGTTGGGCAGTGCCCCACCCACCCTCCAGATCCCTTCCAGCTAAAGCCCTTCCCCCTCCCACCATGTGTTTAGTTTCCCTTTTTGTTTGTTGGCTTGTTCTGTTGCCCTCCTCTCACCCTACCACCCTTGGATCGTAATGTAAAATTCTTTTACCATGTCAAGAAATTATTAAAAAATACAGGTACTTTGACCTCTTTTTAAATCCGCAGACCCTGGTGCAATGCTCTGGTGACCAGAGACATGCTCATATATGTGTGCACATTGGGACACCACAGGCTCCTCCAGCGACCCTGTTGGATGTCGTGATGCCAGTTGGGCTGCCTCTCTTCTCTAGGGTAGTGGAAAGACTGAGGCTTCTGTCCACCAAACAAGGGTGGGTCCTTCGTCTGCGTTCAGTTGAATGGTGCTTTCCAAACCCACACCGCCTTCTTGCCCACTCCACAGATCCCAGTTCCTTCCTTCCCTAGTGGTACCCAAGAACCGCCAGTAGAGGCTGCTGTAGTTCCATGCATAGGGAATGGCCTGGTTCTAGGCATATCCCACCCAGGCATTTTCTTTTCTTTATACCAATTCTTCTCTCTGAATAATGTGTTAAAATTTCTTGAGGAAACTCATAGACTTGGTTTTCAAATTACCTGGAGGGCTGCCTAGAAACCCATCTCCCTCTGAAACAAAGTTTTCTCAACTTCCACCTTGCAAGTGGCCTTCTGGTTTCCAACAATCCCCTCTTTGTCTCTGCAAAAAGTTTTAAGGTCTTGAGTGATGGAAAAACATCAGCCCTGTTTGGTTTCAGAGATGAACACCAACAGTTAGCAGTTTTTGAATGCCTATCCTGTATGAGGCTGGTAAGCACCTGATGTGCATGGTCACATTTAATCTTCATGAATCTAGAGTAGGTTTATCCTCACAGGTGAGGACACTGAGACTCAGGTAAGTATTTCCCCTAAGGTGACACAGCTTAAAGAGCTGGAATGGGTGTACAAATCTGATTGTTAAACCCAGTCCCTCGGCCTCTCCCCCTTTCTCTGAATAGATGGAAAAAGCCTGACACCACAAATCAAGGGCTTGGCATTAGGCTCCAAGCAGAATTCAACACGTGCTGCTGAACTGGGCAGTGGATCCTTGGAGCTGTGACATGCATGCCTTGCCGGGGGAGTAGGAGAGTGAACAGTTTCATGCTTGCTGGCGGTGTGCAGAACTTGCTTGGGCATCTGAGGTTTGCATTTCTTCTCAGCCCCCTCCGGGTGGAAGGTGGAGTTGAGCATCATTAATCCAGATGCCCTCTCATCTGCTGTAAGTGCTGGAAATCCATAGTTGGTGCTGACTGCTGCCTGTAGAAGTTCAGGACAAGGCAGAGGCTATGCATGTGGAAGTAGTGGTGCCTTGAGCCAAACCGCAGGACAGAAAATTGGAACCGAATTACATAAATCAAGGTCAGAAGTTTCCTGTCCAGCCCACCGGGCGGAGTTTTCTCCATTCCTGTCCATCCTAGTGAATATAAACCCTGACTTGAGCGGTAGCTGGAGGGGCAGCTAGTAGACTGATCAGCTTTTGGGAACCACCGTGAATCTCAAGATAGTCCTGGCATTCCTGACACTGTCTCTCATTACCATCTTTGCCCTGGTCTGTGTCTTGCTGACCAACCAAAGTGGTTCCAGCCAGCCTCCCTGCTGCCGCTTTGTGTCCCATAGGGTCCAGCCCTGGTCACACCCTGGCCAGAGCCAGCTGTTTACAGGAACCCAAGAGAAGCTGACAGCCTTCAGACAAGTGTGTCTTCTCAGTAAGCTGTAGCTGCTCCCCAAGGCTGCAGCCCTGGCCCACCTGGACAGGGTGAGCCCCCCCATTTCCCTGGGAGGCACTGGCCATTGTCGTTTTTGGTGGACCACCCCAGCCCTCCTGCATGTGGGATGCCACCATGGAGCATCATGGCGGGCCTCTGCCCTATCACCGACACTCCGTGCTGAGAACTGAGTACATCCAGGTGTGGAGGTATTTGAAAGAGGTGGAGCTCCCAAGGCACCTATCTTCATGGCTTCCGTCTTCAACTGCAGTGGCTCTACTTTGGCAATTCTGCATGCTACCCCTTGTGGCTTGCACTCGGGGGACCGAGCCACCGGATAGCCCCCTACCATAACGTCTCAGGTGTTGGGATTTTCCTTCACCTGGTGGGACTGGAGCTACTGCTGAACCACAGGGCCCTGCCCACTGGGCTGTCCAGCAGGTCTTCTACCTTGGGTGCTGCTATGCAGACTCGCGCCAGTTGGAATGGGAGTTTAAGGCTGACTGGCTAGAAGTGGTTAGAGTCCCTCTCCCCCCACCAAAAGGGGCTTCATCCCTGAGGTCCAGGTCTCCCCAGGTCCTCTTCTTCCAGTTCTTGCCCCAGGGCTCTCAGTACAGTGTACAAGGGAACCTGGTGGCATCCTCCCTCTGGACCTTTGGCCACGGGGTGTTCAGCAGCATGAGGATTTTTGATACTCAGTTCAAGGGCAAGTAGGTGGCCTATGAAGTCAGTGTCCAGGAGTGTCTGTTTATGGGGCCAGTTCACCCAAGACAATGATAACTCGCTATCTGGATAGCAGATATGGACTTGGCTGGAACTGTCAAGGCTTGGTGTGAGGCATGGACTGCCCCTATCAGACCACGATGGTGAACATCCACATGTTAGTGGGCAGAAGGATAGTCCAGCTGCTCACAGGGACTGCTCCTTTGTAGGTACCACAATTACCTTGAGAGTCATATCTGTGGCAGTTCGGCCAGCTCGGTCTCTATGGTCAGGTCTGTGTCATCTGTGGGCAATTATGATGATTACATTTAGGACTTTGTGTTGCACCCAAACGGGGCACTTGAAGGGACGGTCCATGCCATGGGCTGTATTAGCACAGCTTTCCTGAGTGGGGGAGATGAGAGCCTCCTCTTTGGAAACTGTGTGGTACACATGCACACCTTCCACTTCAAGCAAACCTGGATGTGGCAGGTGAGTGCAGAGGGGATGAGGGTGGTAGGATAGAGAGAGGGAATCACCAGACCAAGCTGAGATCTCTAGAAGAGGCAGGAGCAGGTGTTAGCACTGCAGTTACCGTGGTGAGAGGAAGAACTGTGCGTGTGTTCATCTGCAGTCTATACTGGGCTGCCAGATATCTGGCAGGTGATAAGGGCTCCCTGTCCAGCCCCAATCCCCCAGACCCTCTGATTTGCAACAATTGTGAAGCTAGTTTAAATGTAATGGTTGTGCTAGGCTGTCTTTGTGACACTGAGTGGGTGAATTGACTTGTTTGATGCCAGATGGGGTTGGCGTGACACTGCTTCCTCCTAATTCTGAAGATCACTGGGGGACTGGGGAGAACCAGAGCCTGAGCAGAGGTCAGTAGCAGTCTGTCTAGAGTCTTCAGGGTAGGGGTGGACCTGGGGCATGGGAAGAGGCTACCATAGCTGAGGGTTGTCCCACAGGTTAGTGTCACTCTTCTTGGGGAGGGCCGTCCCATTCCTGTCATCACAGTGGACTCTCCCGGGACATGGCAGGCATGCACTAGGCTTACTGCAGGTGTATAAAGGGATTTCTCAAGGAGGCCTCAAAGCCCAAAGAGGACTTACTGCTCCTGACAGATTCTGTTGAGGCCAGAAAACAAACTTAACCAAATCACAGACTTGTAGATCCTCAAAGAAAATTAGAAATCCACCAGACCTCTGCGTTACGGTTGGGAGAACTAAGGAGGGGGAGGGGAGACAGGGCAGGAAGTGACTGCCCAAGTATGATGCAATGTAGTAATTAAGCAGATTTCTTATGAAACGTTTTTTTATCCTCAAGTATAAAAACGTGATGTTTGTGTGCACACATGTGCCCGTGCTCACGCTCTCGCACTTGTATTTGCATTGTGGTTAAGAGAGGAAGAACCAAGAAAATAACATGACTGAGGCTAGGCACTGGCTCACACCTATAATCCCAGCACTTTGGGAGGCCAAGGTAAGAGGACTGCCTGAGCCCACAGGTTTGGACCAGATTGGGCAACTTGGCAAGACCTCATCTACGTTAAGTAAAAAAATTAGCCAGGGTGGGGGTGCATGCCTGCAGGTCCAGCTACTTGGAAGACCGAGACAGAAGGATCACCTGAGCCCAGCAGGTTGAGGTTGCAGTGGCCATGAGTGTGCCACTGTACTCCAGCCTGGGTGACAGAGTGAGACTCCAACTCAAAAAAAATAAAATAAAATAACATGGTTGAAGTTATATTATTGGCTGGATTACCCTTTGGTGTATTTGGACTATGACGATTTTCTGATTGGAAGTGTCTAGCGTTTTCGACATTAAAGCCTTATTTTGGGAAGTAGCACTTATTGGATCCCTAGGGTGTGCAGCACAAGCTGATGTGGAGTCACAGAGGCTGTGTCAAGCACCAGCACATAGGACAAGGACCACAGAGGCACTAGCATCAATAGAAGGCCGCCTGTGTCAGGCGCCTTCATATAGGTCCCATTTAAAGGGACTGAAAGTCCAGACTTGCAGAAAGTGTGACCAAGTGCTGAGCTGGATGATGAAGGTTACAGGGATATAGTAGACGTCCAAAGGGGCTCCCAGACCATTTAGATAGGAATCTGCTCACTTCTGAAGAAGACTGGAAGTACTCCCCACCTTTTGAGATAGAAGTGAAGTCTCAGAGCTGGAAGGAGTACACAGAGGACCTGGAAGAGAATTGAGGTTTTCTTAGAGACAAAGTCTTGCTATATAGCCCTGGCTGGCCTCAAACTCCTGGGCCCAAGGAATCCTCCAGCCTCAGCCTCCTGAATAGCTGGGACTACACGCATGCACCACTGTGCCTGGCTCAAGATTGGGTTTTCAGCTAGCTTCTCCAAGACAAATGCCATTTTCTTTTTCATAGTAAGAATATCACTAATCAATTGCATGTGCTTTTCCATTATGGGGCACAACCATAGAACAGCTTTAATCATGCCCAGTGTAGGGACTCAGAAAGTAAGAATCAGAGAAGCAAACTGGTCCCAGGTCTGTTTGCTGCACCAATGCTAATAGAACTTCTTCCAATGATAGAAGTGTTCTGTATTTGCACTGTGGCTCAAAACCATACCCACCAGCCCAGTGTGGCAACAGCATTTTAAATGGGCTAGTGTCACTGAGGAACTGAATTGAATTTAGCCACACTTGGCTAGTGGTTACCTCAGTGGACAAGGTGAGCTAGCCCTGACCCGTGCCTGGCTCCCAGCATAGCACTTTTCTTTCTTTTTTTGAGTTGGCGTCTCACTCTCACCCAGGCTGGAGTGCAGTGGCCGCTCCCGGCCACCGCAGCCTCGACCTGCTGGGCTACGGCGATCCTTACGCCTGAGCCTTCCAAGTAGCTGGAATTACAGGCATGCACTACCACACCCGGCTGATTTTTTTATTTATTGTAGAGATGAGGTCTCGCTGCCCAGGTGGTTCTCGAACCCGTGGGCTCAGGCAATCCATTCACCTCAGCCTCCCAAAGGCACGGGATTAACAGGCTGAGCCACCGAGCCCGGCTTGCACAGCACTTTTCAATGCCCTCTGCTGCCTTCTGTCAGGCCACTGCAGTGGGCATCATGGGGAAGATGGGCCTGCCGCCAGCAGCCTCACCTAGTGTGAACCTCATCTCCCGCCCCTCACCCTGGCAGGGCTGAAAAACTGGGGGTAGCTTAAGACATGGTGTTTAAACCTGTGGTCGCCCCCTAGAACCCAGAGCACCAGCTACAGTGCCCACAGTTGACCCAGCAGTTCCTGGTATGGAGGTCCTGACGACTTTTTCCTCGGGAAGCCCCATTCCCCGCTGCCTTTACCTGGCCAGCAGCCAGACTAATGCCTGGAGCCACCAGTGAGAGTATCAAATCCAGATCCAGAGCTTCATGACATACGCATGCCCTTGGAGAGCAACAGGGAGAGGGAGCAACCTCAGCTGGGGGAGGTGAGGAGGGCAGTGGGTGGAAGGAAAAGCCCAGCCTGGCCCCCACCCAGCCTGTGGAGATCCCAACTCACTCCTCGCGGCCTCCCATTCATTCCTGCACCTCTCAGATCCATGCAGATATGGCTGGGAAAGGGTCTCACACAGAATCAGAGCCAAACAGCTTCTGGGCCAGCAAAGGCCCCTCACATTTTCTAACACCACCATTTTCTTTTTTTTTTTTTTTTTTTTTGAGTTGGAGTCTCACTCTGTCGCCCACTCCGGCGATCCTTTCGCCTCAGCCTTCCGAGTAGCCGGAACTACAGGCATGCGCTACCACGACCGGCTGATTTTTTGATTTATTGTAGAGATGAGGTCTCGCTGCCCAGGCGGGTCTCGAACCCACGGGCTCAGTCAGTCCACTCACCTCAGCCTCCCAAAGGCGTGGGATTACAGACTGAGCCACCGAGCCCAGCTACACCACCATTTTCTTACAACAAATCCTGGTCAGATACCAGCTCGTGGTGACCCAGAGAAAGGAGGAGGAGGAGCTATAGAGCAGTGGCATCTACTACCAGGATGACATCTGGGACACCCACAGTGGTGTTTGCTGACTTCATCAACAATGAAACCCTCTTAAGGAGAGGTTGGTCACCCTAGGGTCAGGAGAGGGGCTCCTCTCCGCCTGGCATCTTGGTTGCCCAGCCTCTAGTCATAGGTCAGAGGGTTAGTAGATTTCAGTTCTCACATGTGGGGCCCAAGGAGTGTTCTGATGAACCATGCAGGTCACCCTCCCAGGATGAGATTAGCTGTGAGATACTGACTTCCCCCTCACCACCCCCACCACAGCTGCTCACATGGGTTACTCCAATCATTGTATATGCATGAAGCTGGGCAGAGCGGAAGCCAAGCTGAGGCTAGAGGTAGGGGATTGAGGCTGAAGGGTGATTCTTTGGGTCTGGCCTCCATAGGCCTTCAGCTCCTCCCTCTTCCTGCAGGATCTGGTGGCTTGGGTTACAGCCAGCTTCCTGCACATTCCCCATGATGAGGACATCCCAGTGACGCTGGGAAATAGTTGGCTTCTTGCTGTGACCCTATAACTTGTTTGAAGAGGACTCCTCCATTTTCTCCCTAGGCAGTGTCTACTTTGAGAGAGGTCAGGATGCTGGACTCTGCAGTGTCAACCCTGTGGCCTGCCTCCCCCACTTGGCAGCCTGTGTCCTGGACTCACCCTCTTTCTCTTTCCAAGGCTTTTGCCCCTGAGGGTGTGGTGGAGGAGGGGGCTGAGACGCAGTTCTCTTTTTCCACTTCCTCTTCCCATTGTTTTCTTCATACCTGCTCCTACCCCACCCTCTCCAAACAGCCACCTCCCACACTAAATCCCTGTAGAGCCTTTTGGCTAGGTCTTATTTTCTATCCATTTTTTATTTTCCTTTTTATGTATTTTTTTGATATTTTATACTTTTTTTTTTTTTTTGAGTTGGAGTCTCACTCTGTCACCCAGACTGGAGTGCAGTGGCCTGCTCCCGGCCACCGCAACCTCGACCTGCTGGGCTCCAACGATCCTTCTGCCTCAGCCTTCCGAGTAGCCGGAATTACAGGCACGCGCTACCACGCCTGGCTGATTTTTTGATTTATTGTAGAGATGAGGTCTCGCTGCCCAGGTGGGTCTCGAACCCGCGGGCTCCGGCAATCCACTCACCTCAGCCTCCCAAAGGCGCGGGATTACAGGCTGAGCCACCGAGTCCGGCTATTTATTTATTTATTTTTGGATTGGAGTATCACTCTGTCACCCAGGCTGGAGTGCAGTGGCACTATCAGGGCTGCTACAGCCTTGACCTGCTGGGTTCAGGTGATCCTTCTGCCTTAGCCTTCCAAGTAACTGGAACTACAGGCATGCACTACTACGCCCAGCTAATTTTTTTGATTTATTGTAGAGATGAGGTTTCGCCATGTTGCTCAGACTGGTCTCAGATTCCTGAGCTCAGAGTCCTCCTGCCTCTGCCTCCCAAAGTGCTGGGATTACAGGCGTGAGCCACTGCACCCAGCTATCCATTTTTAAAAAAATGATAAATTATAAAAATGATTTTAAAGTAGTCAAGCAAGCCGGGCTCAGTGACTCAGCCTGTTATCCTGTGCCTTTGGGAGGCTGAGGTGAGTGGATTGCCTGAGCCCGCGGGTTCGAGACCTACCTGGGCAAATTGGTGAGACCTCATCTCTGCAATAAATCAAAAAATCAGCCGGAAGTGGTAGCGCATGCCTGTAATTCCGGCTCCTCGGAAGGCTGAGGCGGAAGGATCGCCGGAGCCCAGCAGGTCGAGGCTGCTGTGGCCAGGAGCGGCCACTGCACTCCAGTCTGGGCAACAGAATGAGACTCCAACTCAAAAAAAATAAAAAATAAAAATAAAATAAAACAAAATAAAATAGTCAGGCAAAACATCACTAATCCTACCACTCAGAAATGGCTGGTGTTTGCATTATACCTGCCATGTCTTTATTGCCTGTGCATCCAGAAGGAAGAGTAGACGAAATTTGTGAAGCAGATGTTACGTGTAATTTATAATTAAATGTATTGCAAACTTTCTCTTGAATTTATTCTGTTTGACTTTTTTAAGTGTTTAGAGTCCCCTGGAGAATACTAAGTGTTCTGGCCAAGGAAATTGGCAGTGGAGGAGAGGACAAGGGGGATGGACCCAGCCAAGGAATGTCGCTTGGGAAGCTGAAGGAGCTGGAGGTGGGGGTTTTCTTGGAAGGAGAACAATAGTTTGAAGTTGCAGGAAAGAGAACATCTGGCCTGAGTAGGTGGCAGTGGTGGAAGAAGCTGGGCTGAAGGCGTGAGGGGCTGCTCTGGCGGCTGCGGCTGCTGGCTGATGCTGCGTTTTCCAGCTCAGGCTGGCCAGCTGTGTTATCTTGAAATGCTCCTTCCCCTGCCCCCAAGCCCAGCTCTCCCCGACTCCAACCCTGACCCAGAGAGCAGAATATGATTTGGAGCCTGGAGGACAAAGCCATGTAAGGTCTGTAAGAAATCAGGCTGCCCCTCAGACCCGCCCCCTAGTCCCCACCTCCCCGCCCCCCTGCGCCAGCCTTCCCGCGTCCTTCCCACCCTCAGTCCCAGGCATCCGACTACTGGGAGCCTCAGCCAGAGTCCCAGAGCCCCCAGTCGAGAAACCAAGAGATCCCCTGTCCTGCGGGTCTGAGAACACCTGGCTCCACTCTGGTAGAATCCTCTGTCCTTCTTTGTGGGACAATGAACCAGAAGACCATCCTAGTACTCCTTGCTCTGGCTGTCATCACCATCTTTGCCTTGGTTTGTGTCCTGCTAGCGGGCAGGGGTGGAGATGGGGGTGAACCCAGCCAGCCTCCTAGCTGCCCCTTCATATCGCCCAGTCCCCAGCCCTGGACACACCCTGGCCAGAGTCAGCTGTTTGCAGACCTGAGCCGAGAGGAGCTGACAGCCGTGATGAGCTTCCTGATCCGGCGGCTGGGGCCAGGGTTGGTGGATGCAGCCCAGGCCCGGCCCTCAGACAACTGTGTCTTCTCAGTGGAGCTGCAGCTGCCCCCCAAGGCTGCAGCCCTGGCCCACCTGGACAAAAGAAGCCCTGCACCTGCCCGGGAGGCCCTGGCCATCATCTTCTTTGGCGGACAACCCCAGCCCAACGTGACTGAGCTAGTAGTGGGGCCACTGCCTCGGCCCTCCTACATGCGAGATGTGACCATGGAACGTCATGGCGGACCCCAGCCCTATCACCGACGCCCGGTGCTGGCTCGAGAGTACCTGGACATAGACCAGATGATCTTCGACAGAGAGCTGCCCCAGGCTGATGGTCTGCTCCACCACTGCTGCTTCTACAAGTCCCAGAGACGGAACCTGGTGACGATGACCACGGCCCCTCGTGGTCTGCAATCTGGGGACAGGGCCACCTGGTTTGGCCTCTACTATAACATCTCGGGAGCCGGGTTTTATCTCCACCCCGTGGGGTTGGAGCTGCTGGTGGACCACAAGGCCCTGGACCCTGCCCGCTGGACCATCCGGAAGGTGTTCTATCAGGGCCGCTATTACGAGAGCCTGGCCCAGCTTGAGGAGCAATTTGAGGCTGGCACAGTGAATGTGGTGCTGATCCCAGAAAATGGCACAGGTGCGTCATGGTCCCTGAAGTCCCCAGTGGACCCGGGTCCAGCTCCCCCTCTGCAATTCCATCCCCAGGGCCCCCGCTTCAGTGTCCAGGGGGGCCAAGTGGCTTCTTTGTTGTGGACTTTCTCCTTTGGCCTTGGAGCTTTCAGTGGCCCAAGGATCTTTGACGTCCGTTTCCAGGGAGAACGGCTGGCTTACGAAATCAGCCTCCAAGAGGCCGTGGCTATCTATGGTGGAAATTCCCCAGGAGCAATGATGACCCGCTATCTGGATGGTAGCTTTGGCATGGGCAAGTACACCACACCCCTGACCCGTGGAGTGGACTGCCCCTACCTGGCCACCTATATGGACTGGCACTTCCTCCTGGAGTCCCAGGTCCCCAAGACAATGCGTGACGCCTTTTGTGTGTTTGAACAGAACCAGGGCCTCCCCCTGCGGCGACACCACTCAGATTTCCACTCCCACTATTTTGGGGGCCTTGCAGAGACAGTGCTGGTCGTCAGGTCTGTGTCCACCTTGCTCAACTATGATTATGTGTGGGATATGGTCTTCCACTCCAATGGGGCCATAGAAGTGAAAGTCCATGCTACAGGCTACATCAGCTCAGCGTTCCTCTTCGGTGCTGCCCGGAAGTATGGGAACCAGGTTGGGGAGCACACGCTCGGCACAGTCCACACCCACCGTGCCCACTTCAAAGTGGATCTGGATATAGCAGGTAAGACATCCTGATGGGGCAAGGATTCTAGAAGAAAGGCTGAAAAGTTCCCATGTGCTTTGGGTTTGATGTAGGTTATGCAGGAAAGGAAGATTTGGATTTTCATGCTTCCTTCTTGCTGGGTAGGAGAGACTTGGCTGCTGAGTCTCATTCCGATCTTAGCTCCCTGGCTGGGTGCACAGCTGCCAGCCTGCCTCCATGTATGTGGGCCTACTTCCCGGAGGCAGCCATCTGTTTTCCAGGTCATTCCTCTGTGTCTGGCCCGCAGTACTCGTGCATTGGATGGTCTGTCTGCAGCTTAACAAGTTCCTGGCACCTGCAGGCAGACATGGAAGACCCCAGGGTGCTTTTTCTTGGGAGATGGGCCCTCCTCTTGGCACAATTCTCTGAAGGGCAGGGGACCTCATGGGTCCTACAGAGCATTCCAGGTCCTCCTGGAGTTGGTGATCACAGAGACAGCCAAGGCTACCTGGTGCCTTGGCGTGTTCATCTTTGTCTTTTTGTTTTCCTTTTCCACATTCAGTTTATCAACAGGTTTCTTTCTGTTCTGAGCCTGAAATACCTCTCCGGGTCACACTGCCACCCCCTAGCAGGTGCCAACCCTCTCTCAGCTGCCTCTAGTTTTGTGGCTGTCACATCCAAGGTCCACTCTGTGCCCAGAGGTCCCCGCCACCAACGCCAGCCGGCCACACACACAGCTCTCACTTCCCATGCCCTGTGGGTCCACAGAGCAGCCTCAGACCCTGTCCTCTCTGGGCACCTCCAACCTGCCTTGTGGATTCTTCCCTGACCTCTGCCTTAGCCACACCCAAACACTCCCTGTCCCTGGATACACAATTCACACAGTCAGGCTGCTTAATTTTGCCCAGCCTACAATGCCCTTCTGTTTCATTGCTTTTGATGACATCCTTTAAGGCCAGGCTGAAAAGTTGCCCAGGAGATTTTTTGCATCTGTATCCCTGTGATCTGGGATCTGCATGGGCTATGCTTCTCTCCCCGGGCAGGGCAGTCCAGTTCTCCTGGTTGGGTCGGGAGCAGAAGACAAGAATGATGTTCAGTCACCTCTGTCCCTAAGGGCAAAAACAGTTCTCTCTGCTCATGAATGTTGACAGGACAAATGGGTGAAACGGAATGAAATGCTTAATGAAGTCTTTTCATGTATAGGTCAACAGCTTTGTCTAAAGGATTTGGGATTCTTTGAGGAGAGGGCAGCAGGGGCCATGCTCAGCTCCGGGCTGCTCTTTGGCCCCCACTCTGAAGCCAAGTGGGGAAGAGTCCAGAGGGACCAGAGCAGCTGCATGACAGGCCCTTTCCCCCTCAATCCCCCGGGCAGGACTGGAGAACTGGGTCTGGGCTGAGGACATGACCTTTGTCCCCATGGCTGTGCCTTGGAGCCCTGAGCACCAGATACAGAAGTTGCAGGTGACCCGGAAGCTGCTGGAGACAGAGGAGCAGGCCACCTTCCCTGAGGGAGGCGCCACCCCTCACTACCTGTACCTGGCCAGCAACCACAGCAACAAGTGGGGTCACCCACGTGGCTACCGCATCCAGATGCTCAGATTTGCTGGGGAGCCACTGCCTCAGAACAGCCCCCTTAAGAGAGCCCTCAGCTGGGAGAGGTGAGTGGTGGGTAGGCTGCCTAGAGTGGGTGGGGAGGGGAGACCAGGAGAGAACCTTGGAGGAGACTCAGCTCACACTGTCCTGAAGGGAGGCGAGATCTCAGGAAGGATGTCCTTGTGATCCAAAGACCTCACGATGGGCACATCTTCCCGGTGTAGGCTAAAGCCCAGGAGTGGGCACTCATCTCTGTGTCTGATGGGGGAAGGGCCATGCTGTGAAATGGCAGGGACTCACATGTGACCCCACTGAGTGGAGTTGTTGTGTGAGTGAGATAGGGAAGCTGAGGTCTGAGCACTCAGCTCCCTTCGGTCCTAGGCGGGGAGCTCGTCAGAGCTAGTGGCCATGGGCCTGACCAGTGCCTCCCTAGGTTCCAGCTGGCCGTGACCCAACGGAAGGAGGAAGAGCCCAGGAGCAGCAGCATCTACAATCAGAATGACCCTTGGGCCCCCACTGTGGATTTCAGTGACTTCATCAACAATGAGACCATCGCTGGAGAGGTCAGCTGACTGGGGAGGGGAAAGCAGGGTGGGAAGGGTGAGCCCAAGGGTAAGCCTCGCCTGCTCTGGGAGGGTCCCCAAAAGCCATTCAGTCTCCTCAGCGGGGGAGCTGACTCCTGCCTTCTGCTCCCTAATGGATCTGACCCATCACCTTTTGAAGGAATCTCTCAAGTTGGGTGTCCATTGCAGACACTGGGTGAGGCCCTGAGCCTGTCCTCGAGACTCCAGGGCTCTCCAAGTTCCAGTTGGTGCACTGCATCCTTTTTGGGTCTCAAGGACTCAAGGAATGATGGAAGTTACCAGGGAAAATCCCATCTCCTGTATTTAAAGCTTCTCCATTCATGACTTGACTACTAAGGGATGAATTTCTCAGTGTTGGCCTGTTTCTGCCTCCCAGACCTTCCTGACCTTCCCTCCTCCCTCTTTCGAGTTCTGAGGGCAGTGGGCGCAGAGCTGAAGCCTGTGGTGTCACCCTCTAGGGATAGGCAGGCAGAGGGTGCTGTGATAAGACACCACAGGATGGGGGATGGAGGGAAGCCCCCTTTCTTCCCACTATGAAAACGACTGTTTATGCTTTCACTTCTGGGCCAGTAGAAAAAGCTGTTGAAAGACTCGAGGTCCTTGGGCTTCTGAGCTGAAGCCCTGCGGGGCTCGTCATCAGCAAAGCCAGACCTCGTGATCCTCTTTCTTCTTCCCTGCTAGGACTTGGTGGCCTGGGTGACAGCTGGTTTTCTGCACATCCCACATGCAGAGGACATTCCCAACACGGTGACGGTGGGAAATGGCATGGGCTTCTTTCTCCGTCCCTACAACTTCTTTGATGAGGACCCCTCCTTCTACTCTGCAGACTCCATCCACTTCCAGGGTGACCAGGATGCTGAGGACTGTGAGGTTAACCCACTGGCTTGCCTGTCCAAGACTGCTGCCTGTGCTCTCAACCTCCCTGCCTTCTCCCACGGGGGCTTTTCTCACAACTAGGCAGTCCCTGGGATGGGGAATCTGGCCAAGGGTTCCAGGGCCAGGGTGTGAGGGTTGGATGGCAGCTAGGTGCTAGGCTGGCAGCCTAGTGGCTTCTTCTCCTTCCTCACACCCATGATGTCTCCCTTCTATTTCCCCAAGGTCCTCTCTCTTCCATGACCCTCCCTTGCATCCCCCTGGTAGCCAGGGGCATCCTGGGCCTGTGAAGTCAGACACAGGAGAGGCCCAGCTTTATTGGTACCAGCTGTGCTAGGTCCCCATCCCCGAGAGGAGAGGAGTGGCCCAGCCAGGACCCTGGAGTGATGGCCAAGCTCCCTAGTTGGTTCCCTTGTGTTTATTTCCAGCTTTCCCAAATCTTTTGAGGCTATCTCCAAGGACTCTGAAAGGGGGATTATTCCCTAGGCATCCCAGGCCTAGTGGCCAGATCTGCATGTTCACAGATGGGACCCCTCTGCCCACTGTCCCTCTCGTGTCTTCCTTCCCTCCTTCTTCTTCTTGCCTACTGCCCCCTGCTGCCTGCCTGCTCTTCTATCCTGACACTTCCCCATGTCCTCAGGAGATGTCCCTCTGTCCCAGCCCCTAGTGTTCTCACAACCCTCAGGTCTCAACTCGTCTCCTCTCCCAGGCTGGACCTGTGGAAGTCTCAAAGATGCAGTGGGACACCTGATTGGAGAGGACAATTCCTGTGTGTCCCCTGGTATCTTGTCACATACTGGGAATAGGAGTTGCCCCCACCACATCCTGGGCCAGGATGTTTCCAGACTATTCCCTCTGTCCATTTATATCTGCCTGCCTTGCACCACTCTCTGGAGGAGGATGGACATCGTGACAGGAGCAGCCACTGTTGGCATTTCAGGTGGTTTTGGGGTGCAATAAAGAATGGTCAACCGGGCTCAGTGACTCAACCTGTAATCCCAGCGCTTTGGGAGGTCGAGGCTAGTGGATTGCCTGAGCCCACTGGTTCGAGACCAACCCGGGCAACTTGGTGAGACCTTGTCTCTACAATACATCAAAAATTAGCTGGGCGTGGTAGTGCACACCTGTAGTTTCGGCCACTTGGAAGGTGGAGCCCAGCAGGTCGACGCTGGGGTGGTTGTGAGCGTGCTACTGTACTCCAGCCTGGGCAATGGAGTGCGACTCAAAAAAAGAAAAAAAAAGGAAGGTCATTTTGTGCCAAGGCTATGTGTGAGACCATTGGCCACTGTAGTCTACAGCAGCCAGGATGCGAGGCTGTGGTGGATGCCAAAGAGGAGGAGCAGAAAGCCCTGGGAACTCCCACAGGAGCAGGGGCTGTCCAATCATGTGAAGGCATGCAAATGAGGTGAGGCCTGGGTGGGGCGGGGCCTGTTCTGGTGGGATGGGGCTTGGCTTAGTTGGGTAGAGCCTGGAGCGGGTAGGGTCGGGGCCTGGCCTGGTGAAACGGGGCCTGGCCTGGGTAGGGACTCCTGCTCCAGGGCCTTCCATCACTTCTGTCTTTCCTGGGTTCTTGGTTGTGGATAAATACAAAGAAGTAGTAAGAGATTGGAAACAACAGAAACCTCCTTCCCTAAAAGATTGGTTAAATCAATTCTGATACAGCCTTAGAGTGCAACACTATGCAGCTAAAGATTAGTTCTATGTTTTATTATATACTAATCTGGAATAATCTTCAAGACTGTATCCTGCACCTTGGCTCATGTCTTAGAAAAGAGGGGGATATAAATACATATTTGCTTATACATGCATATCCAGTAGAAGTGGGTAATATTGATTACCTCTGAAAGGGAAACTGGGAGGGTGGGGACAGGGGAGGAGACTTAGTACTGTATCCCCTTTTGTACATTTTGAGTTTTGACCCATGGAACTGTATTACCTATCCAAAATAAATAATGAACCAGCCCAAAAGAAACTGACTTTTTTTACTGACGCATTTTTGGTGGAACAGTGGGGGAGAGGGTAATGTGAATTAAGGAATGGGCCAGGACTAGATTTTCTCAAGTTCTTGAGATCCAGAGAAGCAGGTATGGTGTCTAGTAACTTCTTCTGCCTTCTCTTGCTTGTATACCTCTGAGGAAATGTTAAACCTCAGTCAATCCTCCCACCTTCTCTTTTTCTCTCTTTTTCCCTCTCTCAAGAGATGACAGTGACAAGCAAGGAGAAACGGTGACTTCTGCTTGCTGGAAGCCCAGGCCAGAGCAGGAGGTGAAGTTAAGGAAACATATTTTGGGGCTCTACAGCTTCTGATCAGAGAGATCATATTCTGGAAGCTCAGGCACCATGGAAACTTCTGTCACCTTCTGTCTTTTCTGCCTCAAGCCCAGGCTGAGGGTCCATGGAACGGTGGATGGGGCAGAGTCAGTGACCTGGAGAAAGACTAGGTTCCAAAGAGCAAGTAGAAAGGACTGAGAGGCAGAGCCCAGCAATAGCTGCTCACTTATACCATAGCTTGAGTGGAAGACAAAGTGAAGGCAGACAGGGGGAGCTGGAGAAGAGAGAGATGGAGGAGAGAAAGGAATATCATGGCCAACTGTAGCTCTGAGGCTGACCTTATATTCCCTCTTCCTCAAACCTGAGGAATTGAACTCTTTTTTTTTTTTTTTGGGGGGGGTTGAGTCTCACTCTGTCGCCCAGACTGGAGTGCAGTGGCATGCTCCCAGCCACTGCAGCCTCAACCTGCTGGGCTCTGGCGATCCTTCTGCCTCAGCCTT